CACGCGAGTGCGAACATAAGGCAACATGCCGCACACTTGTCGGCCTGTACAACTTCTGCATCATCAGTATGTTCAAAACGACTGGAAGAGTAGCACACTTACCTCGTGCTAATCGAGCATCAGGACTGAAGAAGATATGGGACTCTAGACCCGGCCCTTGAGTGCAGTCAAGCTACTGTGCAAAGGGACAGCAGCAAAACATAGCTATAAATATGGTACACGTACCATGTCAACTAGAGACAACAGCTGCAAGATGTTGCGCGGAACTGAGGGGAGCACGAACACGGACAAGAGATGGTGGTGGTTGAAGGGCAAGAGAGGATGAGAGAGAAATTTGTTGAAGTCCAACTCCAACCGCTACGAGCGGAGATTGAACTTCGGCACATCGGCATGATGAAGCAGTGACGCGACGTGTCACGAGACCAGCGGCACGCCCCCGTGCCGATAAGTCTAAGTCAGAATATTGCGCAAAGGAATCCACAACGCAAATCCTTTGCAACCTGTATTGCAACCGTTGCACAAATGACACACGCGCAAAATGAGTGCAACTGTTACGCAAAAGTACTGATATCTATACTACCGACATTTGCACGAACGCCCCTTGGATTTTTTCACCAGATTCTGGGCAGGCCATGTAGAACCCCAAGTAACCGGCCTCATGTATAGGTACCATAAGTGCTCTATTCCCGTTTGCATTCTCGTTACGACATATACCCCCTTGCAATGACCGCAGATCCTTCACAAATGTACCCTGTGTCTGCTACGATCTATAGGAAACCCGTAGGTCTCGTATTCAGTCATGCGTCTAGGGGCTGGATCTCTTATCGTGTTATTCTACGACTTGGCCTTCCCATAAGTCAATGATCTTGTCTGGCCATTATTACTGCGAGCTACGTCCAGCGGCCAGCCAAAGGTGCCGGGGTATTTCGACATACTGTCCTTGTGACTCTGGCTAATCGGCCACCTTGTCCTCTGTCACCATGTTCTAGGTCCTCCGCAGCGTTCACCATTCTTATCACCGCTGCTATGACTGGCACAGCGGGCAAGCACCGATGTCCCGCCACCGGACATTTGCCATTCATGAAATAGGTGGGCGAACACTTTCCTTGCATGCTCCGAAGTGGGACTTGGCAGAGACATAAACAATGAGAGAACAATGTCAATCAAATGTCCCCTGATTTTTAGAGACCATAGTAAATGTCCCGCGGTCCTGCCTTTGTTCATTCAAAGGGCGTTCTCTGTGTCCCGGTCATGGTCCAACAAAGACCATTCTAGGAAAGTGTTCTCCCAACCGGAGCATGTTCATAGCATGCTCGCCGGCGGGACATCGATCTCTGTCCGCAGTGTGGGTTGAAAAGCTCCCGGCGAGCTCATACGAACTTTCGCCAGTGGACCGATATTCACCTTGAGATTGAGCGCACAACTAAAGGCTGCGAATCTCGTCCAGACGAGCGACAGATTCCTGCGTGAGCCTCTCTTTCCACACCCCGGCGAACTGTCCATCATGCATTCATAAATCACGTGATCATCTGTCTTCCTCGCTGCGCACCAAGGGGTGGACACCGGGAGAAGCCGAGACCGCATGAAGGGGGGAGGGGGGGGTCTCGAGGGCCTTAACAGGAATTTATTAAAAATAGATTTGGCTCTGTGACAGCCCTGATGGCAGAGATCCGGTACAGGTGGTACTAAAATGGCTTGCTAGTGAGGGTTACAGGGCTATATTAGCCAGGACAACCTCGCCTTGGCCATTGCACGGAAGAAAACATAAAGCGTGACAACATAGAGTGTGACAATAGAGTGACGTGTGGGAGCACTGAAAGATGACTAAGCAAACCCTAACCTGGATGTGCCTGGAATCTACCTTCCCGATATGGTACCGTGGGATGCTCCCACGGGGGGGAGGGGGGGGCCTCTGGGACCTTAGCAGGATTTCCTATCATGCGGTCTAAAATTTTATTATTGTCCACCCCTTGCTGCGCACCCGGCATTTCCACTTAAGACTGGTTTGGTCCCTGTCCTGCGTGTCCGGGCAGTCACCAATCCCACTGCCTCTGACGCAGGTTGTTACTTGCGCTCCCGCCTACATGCACCAATATCCCAATGTCTTCGCCTGCATGCGTGCTCTGCCTGTGCTCCGTCGCGATTAGGGGCATCCCAGACGAGGTTGCGACGTTCCTCGGGCCTGACATCGTCGTGAACTGGAATGGTTCTAGCAACGGCGGATTTCGACGGGATTTGTGAGGTTGAGACGGACGCCGCTGCGTTGCCACGCTCAGTCGGACCGGTTAACGAGGATGTCGCTGCTGGAGACTCTGAAGATCATGCCGCGGAGCCCTAGTGATCCCATCGCCGACTTCCGCGGCCGCGGAGTCGATGTGACACTCACTGCATTGGACAGGAGCAGGAGACTTGGGACTTGACAAGGCCCCATTGCTGTACCCAACGAAGAGATCAGAAGCCTGTCCTGCCGTAGGTGTGGCAAACCCTACTGAGCGTCGCCAGAGAATTCCCTCCCTGCAATCCCATGCAGCTCGGAGTAAGGTGGGGAACACCGAGCAGATTTACGGGTTGATTGGGAAGGAGTAGAAGACTCTCTGGTAGCTAGGGAAACGTCAGTGAGATTGTGGCCTACATGATTGAGGGTAGGATTGACGAATGCGTCTCGCGTTCCACGTGTGTTTCAATGAACCCAGTGTTGCAAAGAGGCGAAACTGCATGTGTTCCTGGCGTCTCCGGAACTCACACCGACACTGTGAATCCATTGGCGGCGGTCAAGCAACGGAGACGTGTGATAGTCATCTGGTGCGAGAGCGCAGCCTCCAGGTAATGACCAGACTGGTAGAGCTCCGAGCATAGAAACGGAGGTGAGCATGGTGTGCATTCGTCCCGGCGCCTCTCGCAGTACCTGTGATTTTCAAAGGGATTGGATCTATCCTCGGAATGTCATTGCTGTGTCGCCAAAATATGGACTGGGGATCATGTAAATAAACGCAGCGGGATACACAGAACATTTCCAAAGATATGTTGATATAAGAAAGAGTTCTAGGGGGTGGTGTGTCGAGGCCCTAGAAAAAATCTGTCTCCTCAGGATACATCTCAGCGTACAAAGCCATCATGACATCAGGGATCGTTTTAACCAAGCTCTCCTGCAACGCATTCGACTGGAGAATACGCCGCATCGCCACCCGTTTGACCGACGTGCGAGTGGTGTCGACCCCAGCCGAAGGCACGTTCTGGATGCCGGCCTGGGCAGCGCCGAGGGTGACGGACCTGAGAGACTCCTGAGGAGGGCGCGTTAGTGAGAACACGAGCCGGATGCGGCGTACACTCACGAAGGCTGAGGCGTACGACGTGTGATAGGATTGAAACATCTTGAGCAGGAGACCGTCGATGCTATAAGCCATGATTAGCGAGCCGCCCACAGGTCAATGAATGATATCTATGGGCTACGCACGGTGTGTGGCTCGGGTCCGGCTCGGGGGACCGGGAGTGGCGGATCATACTTCGATTCCAAGCGAGGCATCTTGACCAGAAGAACGAGTTCGTCACGGTGTACGGGTACTGCAGGCCATTAGAGCCAAGATGCTCGCACGTCATGCTAGCCTCTTCGCTGGCGTCCTCGTAGCGCAGCTGCCAAGACGTGACTGCGACAGGGCTGCGGATGAGAATGGGTCCGTAGTCGACAGTACAGTCCTGCTGGCGCGGGGCCACAATACCGTCCATATTCAAGTCGATGACCCACGTGTATTTGTCGCCAATCCATCGTTCGATTGAGCAGAAGGCGGAATGATCATCGAGCTGCTCCGACTCGGGTGTACCGGGGAGGATGTGCCAGCCTCTTGCATCATACTTTTCCAGAGCCGGTGTTTGGCTTGGGCCTGAGCAGGGGATGATGAGGGAGCGACGCTCCTCGAACGTGGCTCTCGGATACAGCGAGTACGCCTTTTCAAAGCTGATCACGTTCATGACGCAGGCTATATCCGACCGACGATTCCTGAACAAGCTGAGCAATAACAATGCGGTTCGGAGTCACGTACTAGAGTGGAAGAAGAGGACAATCTCCATCGGAGACATCTTCGCTGACATTACCTGGATTTTACGGCCATCCAGGGGGTGTTCCAAATCGATGATATTCTTGATACCACGCATATTGTAGAGCTGTCTTAAGCATGTCAACAACAGTAATGTGTACTCATAAAATTAACAGCGCTAACCGTTCTGGGATGTTTATTCACTGCAACCTCAAAGTCACGGTCCTGTCTGTGCTTCGGGACGAAGACATAACCTTCCGCCATGACCCACCTGCACACTTCGTCTAAGTGCTCCTTGTATACGTACAGGTCAAGATCTGAGCCAGAATAAACTTTGCGGTCGAAGAACTGCAAAGCGTTGGAGCCGGATATTAAGGTCGCAGTGCGAGCTTGGAGGTTCCGGAACGCAAGGGGGTCAGAGAAGAATCTCCCAAGATGGCGGTTGATGTCCCAGCACTCTTCAAAGATATTCTTGAGTATGGCGCGATACAGGCGACAAGTGGCAGCAAGATTGATGAGCGACGCCGGGCTGCAGCTGTCCAGGACGTGCAGCAACAGGTCGAGGTTAGAGTCGAACAGCCGGTCCCAGAATGCTGAGCGAGTGGAGTCGACGTCCATGTCGTACGGAGCATCCATTCTCGCCACTGGGTGTAAGTGGGAGGGGTTATGGAGGCAAGAACATCGCGGCTGCGGCTTGGCTTTATACGACGCGACGCGACGCGAGTGGCTCACGATTAGACACGCCATCACGTGCACCGTCACGTCCCACCAGGACCCCTGAAAATACCGATGGAGGTTAGATACCAATTCCGTAAAAAAGTGAGGTCTGGAGGCCGTATGTTAGATACGGTTGCGGTAAAATGTGGCGAAGCGCCCAAGAGGCCGGATACTTCAGTCCCGGTAGAATTGAGGCTCGATATCCAAGGTCAGATACCATTGTAGTATATACCCGGCTTCTCCCGGCACTGGATCACTCGCTTGTGCAGCCACAATTTGCCCCAATATATATTTGAGCTGAGATTGCACTGTTTTGGCAACATTGGGCCTATATATGGCATATCATAGCGAATAATGCCTTATTTTGATCAAATGTGGCTAAGAAAAACCCTTGTAACCGGATTAAAATTCGGAGGTTGGATATCTGGGTCTCGGTAAATCTCGAGCCACACGGCTAGGTTGGTATCGCATCCCGGTAAAAACAGCCAAATTGGGCGAAATTTGGTTCCGGTAAAAATACAGGAAATCAGGTTCTCTGGTATCTAACCTCCATCGGTACTTTCAGGGGTCCTGTTTCTCCATGTTAGAGAACCAGGGAGAGAGGCGTATAGTCTCCGCAGTGATTTGAACGGCCAACCCTAGCCATGTGCTTGCTTCTTATTTCGAACAAAACCTGTCCGCTATTCGGATAATTGAAAAAGTCGGTTAACAACTTGTGCAAAAGCTATTCAAGTCCCTCGTTCTTATGATGTCGATGGCCTTGCCTATTTCGGGTGAGTGCAATCTAGTATAAAAGGAGCTCAGAAACTTACGATCAGGCGATCAGAGCCTTGACAGCCTCGACGACCTCGCTGTTTCCGCCACTCTCTGATCCCTGCTGGCCTTCTTGAAGTAAGCCGAGCAATTGGTACAGGGCGTCCGGGAGTTCGTCATGCCCTGCCGTGTTAGACTTGAGTTTTTTATTGCCCTTCTCGTAGCCGTACACGCTTGTCAGCTTCGTCTGCCCCCCATCAGTGATGTGAAGCTTGTAGATCGGGCGCGAGGTAATGGGATGATCGATCCGCCACTGATTCTGGAAGGAGCCCGTGTCAGGTAGGCTCAGGACTTGAGCGGCGAGAGAGGATATGCCGTCGATATCCGGTTGTGCCAGGCTCAAGACCCTGCCACTGCCATCAATTGCGACGTTCGGTTTGAAGAGGGCGGCCACGAGAGTGCCCTGCCGTGCTGGGGTATCGACAGTGAGCGCGAGCAGAAGATTTTCTCTCGTCGGTGTGAAACTAGTCGAGCCAGGCTGCGCACGACTGTACCATCCCTCGTGTGATGGTTCCCAGTTGGCATTCATAATAGGAGGACGATCTTCTCGGAGTAGCAGCGATATCAACAGTAGTACTGCAAATACGCCTAAAACAAGTAGGCTGTGTCGCGAAATCGTTGCTGGTCTTTGCTGGTGATAGTCAGGATGATAAAGGAGCGTTTGGTAACGAGCGGTCCATCTTCTCGTTCGTACTGGAGCATGATTGCTTCATCGTCGCGGAGATGAGCCCGGATCACGAATCGACTCGGATGGTATCGCCACCTGGCAGGGCCGCTCAGATCATCATGTGGACTGTGATTGGCTAGGCCCTCTGCCAAGCTCAAGTGATGTTGTACATGTAACATAGAGGATATGCAGAAATATATAGTCATCACACGAGCGTAATAGGAGAGCACACTAAACGACAAGTATTGTAGATACGCTGGTATGAATAGAGAGAAGAAAAAGGGGCGCACGGGCGCGACTTTTTATCCAAGAGGTACCTCGACGATGCTATCCAGTCAGTATTTCTTTGAAGATATCTTCGATGATCGTGGACGCTTTCCAGAGATCCCTCGCAAGCTCCTCCATGTAATAGCGCTTCCTTCCAGCCATCACGGTGTGTATGTCACCTTCTGGCTCTTTATCGTCGGGCTCTTCATAATCTGGCTCTTCTCCGCCGTCTGGATCATCAGAATCTAGCTCTTGGTCATTCTGCTCGTCATTCCTGTCGGGAACCTCTTTGAGCTCGACTGCCATGATGCCGCCTGGTATACATGCCCGTACGGTGAGCGGGACCATATGCATGGCTGACACACTCACCTGAGACGTGCCGTATAGCTCATAGTATTCGCAAGCGGCCCGCCAAATACATCCGTCCAGGCTGCAGAGAACCACAGCCCGTCAATTTGAATGTAGGTAGGGTGTACTCGCAGAACGTAACTTACTAGAAGGCCTGACGTGTAGGGGCCCTTTGAGTCCGACGGCACAGATCAACACACCTTTGGAGACGAACATGCTCTACGCGTAGCAGTACCGTACGCCGGGAGACTAGAAGGTTTTGTGTTCTATGTACGGTGAATGGCCGCGGTAGTCGGCGTCCAGTTTCCAGCTGATAATGTGGATGGGATCATTCGATAGTTTGGGGATAGCAGACAGCCTGCTGTTGGGGAGAGCGACTCCATTCATGTCTAGAGGAAGTACCCATGAAAATCGGTCTGCCATCGACCGCGGGGAGTCAGACCATACGGTATAGTCATCCAGGACCTCATCTTGTGAAAGTTCGCTCAGGATCGTCCATCTGCGCTTACTGTACTTGACATGAGCAAGCTTAGCGGCGCGAGTTAATTCCCCGTTGCCGTTCCTGGAGCAGATCAGTGAATGACGTTGTTCGAAAATGCCTTTGGTGTAGAGCGAGTATGCGCTTTCAAAGCTAATCACCTTCATAACACAGGCTGCATCGTGAATTCACGGCGGTGATGACCTGTATCTTCTGGCCATTCTCCTTTCTTACCAGATCAATGACGTTATAAATCGCGTTATTCTTCTCATCGTCATAGGCCTAGTGTACGGATGCCAAGTTGTGTTGTCATATAGCTGAGTCACATGTACTGAGAATTCCCAGTATGCGGCCGATGCTTTGCAGAAATCCGGGCTTTGAGCGGGCTTCGGTACATGTGCATAGTAGTGGCAGTCCGAGCTTGGAGGTCCTGGAATGCAACAGGATCGGAGAAGTATCGCTTAAGGTGCAGATTAATGTTCCATAGTCCTTGAAGGTGGAAGAACAGGATATCATGGTAGGTGCGACATGTCTTTGCGAGATTGAAGAGCAAGGCGGCACTGCAGTGTTGCATCACTAGGAACAGTAAGACACCATGCGGAGTGAATTAGCAATCCCAAAACTTCGGAGGACTAGTAATAGTTGGCAGCATAATTCAAAAAGGTTTCAGTGGCCCAGCAAACTGGAGATACGGTCCAAAGCCTGAAGCTGGCGAGAAGTCGGTGGCCACAACAATCGTCAGTCGTGACAGCAACTTGATCATGAAGTTCGCAGCGCCATAGGTGACCGTTACCTTGACGCGTCATCACGTGGTGTGTGGTCACGCATCGAAGGCGAGGATCCAAAACACGGATGTGCTGCAGGGGGACGACAGCTGCAGTCTATACAAGGCGACATAATGCACGTTTTCCACGTTTTTGTACAAATTCAAAAACTGCCTAGGGCCAGGGAGAGAAGGGGCTCCTGCGCGATACAGGCTACGACATACGACAACTACAACGAAAGATTCTTAGTGGGTGAATTAAATGTGCAGATTTTGCATCACTCCAAGAGTATCGGCATCTACTGCCTGGCCTTGAGCAATGCCGTAGAAGCCAAGACCGAAGGTCCGTTCTACGTAGCTCAACGTAAATTCACTGCTCATCGAGAGGTCTTCCGAGAGCAACCACGTCATAGCGGTCCGGCGGTCCTCTTCTTCTACTGTGGACTGACGGAGCAGCTGCATCGGCGACAATGCTAAAGACAAATATGAAATGCTCACCATAGTGTCAGAGTATATCTCATAGCATTTGGACGCAATCTGCATAATGCGTCCATCCCAACTACGTCCAGAGACGATCACAACGATCAGTCTCTACAGAGATGAAGTGACGTACTATTCTGACCCGAACGTGCGACGGGGCTCCCTGACGGACGATACCTGCATAAGCCTGAAGCAGCATTCTGCCAGAGTCCGAACCCTGGATAATGCGTACGCATAGCGCAAATAGGGAAAGGCAAGGATGCTGTATACGACAGTCAGCTCCCTACTGCCAGCTCCGTACCCGAGTTGCCAACTAGTTGCGTGCACAGGGTCATTCGACAAGCCAGGGACATGCGTCAGCCTATTCTCGTTTGAGACCCCGGTAGTGTCCAAGGGTAGCACCCAAGAAAAGCGGTCAGCAATCGATCGAAGACAGGTCGAAAACGGAGAGTGGATATCATCCTGCTCTTGCTGTGGTACGTGTCGGAGAGTAGACCATCCCCGTAACATGTACTTGCAGCGCGCAAGCTCCACTGCCGTGTTTATAATTGGCCCTTCCCTTGCGCAGGCTAGTGAACAGCGTTTCTCAAATGTTGCCATCGGGTAGAGCGAATAAGCCTTTTCGAAGCTAATGACATTCATGACACATGCTAGGTGGAAGTAGATTGGCGTTAAGTACTCCGGATATCGCTTGGTAAGTTAGTCGCAAGCGTGACGTACTAGAGTGGAAGCCGAGGATGACTTGCATGGGGGTCTTGTCTGCGGCGATAATATGAATCTTCGGACCACCCTCTGGTCTGACGAGATCAATGATATTGACAATTCCTGGCATATCGTAGATTTCGATCTATGCGGGTGAGGCTGGGTCATATCGTATACATGAGATGGATAAGTAGCACGCACTGGATCTCGGTATCGTAGCACCGCTACATCGAGATCACGTTGCTGGCCAGGTCTCGGAACAAACACGTATCCGTCACTCATAATCCATTCGCAGACTTCCTTCAACATATCATCGTACACGTAGAGATCCAAGTCTGACCCATCATAAATAGTGCGGTCGAGGAATTGAAGGGCGCTGGAGCCGGATATTAAGGTAGCTGTCCGTGCTTGCAAATTGCGGAAGGCTATCGGATTCGAGAAGTATCTCTTCAGATGCCGGTTGATGTCCCAGAGCAGCTGATAGTGCGGCTTGAGGGCTGCATGATATGAGTGGCATGTTTTGGCGAGGTTGAAGAGTGATGCAGGACTGCAAAGGTCGAGGACTAGCTCCAGCAGATCGTACTGGTTTAGTAGACGGTCCCAGAAATTCTGGCGCTCTTGCTTTTGCACGACTCGCCTGGTTTCTTGCGAGTCCATTGGTGTGCCGGAATCTGTAACAATCAGAGTCCTGGGAATACGCCCGTCGCGCAATGACCCGTCTTTGCTCTCGCTAACGACCGTGATCGATATCTTTGCAATCGACTCGGAGGAAAGGTCGTGTCCCAAGGGCAGCAAGTCCAGAGAGCATGTAGCAGTCCTTCAACCGACTTTTATTGAAGGCACGAGCTTCAGAAGCTCCAGGGCACGAGCTCAAGAATGTCCCCAGGCCTGCCATGAGGCTGGCGCAAGTTGCGTTCGGGATCTGTCGTACTTATAACAGGCCGTTCACACTTGCCAGTCGCCATCCGACCTACCATGGAACGCCAGTGCGATAGTAACACGATGCCTTGGTTTAAGGGCTCCAACTATGTTCGATCACCAGTCCTCACACATGTTCAATGTCAACACTGCTTCGAGTGGCCGAAGAGAATCCTAACATGCTCGGGTGAGGCTGTCTGTAGTCTCTTCATGCATTTTGTGTTAATTCAGTGAATGCAGGTTGCAAATCAGAATATTACTGTGTAAGCTCATATAGTCAAAATGACTCCACTCAACGATGCGGACAACTAACCTCCGGATCTCGATAAGGGAAAAGCATGCCAGAAGGCGGACTGGCGATATCACAGAGAAGCTTGCATTCGATTCAGGACGGGGGTTCGGAGAGGCCTACGCGATACTAAGGATGACGATTTCACCAGGCGCAAATTTGCAGAAGCATCGCGAGACGTGAGAAAGTGGGTCTTGGTAGGAACATATTAGGCCTGTGTTCGTCTCTCTGATTGACCTTCACTGTACCAGGCACATCGTACTCTACTTGACTTTCTCACCAACAACGAGATGGGAGTCTCCTTCCGTCCTGAAGTCCTGGACCAGCTTCTGCTATGTATTGTAGTATTCTACGGCCCGAAGCCTTATCGTCCCGGTATCAAATATCGCTTCCACGTCGAATCCGTGGGTCTCTACAGGAAGACGCCGGATTTCCCAGAAATTCCACGTCGAGAGATTCCTTGCCCGGCCACCGCGCGAATAGCTAGGAGGGAGTCGTTAGGTTTTGCTGACCTTCTGGTAACTGAGAAAGATACCGGTGCACAATGGCTGGAAGGGACAGAGGTTGAGGCGCCTATGGTCGTCGCATCGAAGGTTTATGTTCGAAATGCCAAGCAGCTCCTGAGGGAGGTCGTGACGGGCCGTGTGGATGAGGCGCTCGTCCTTCGTGAAGTGAAGAATTTTGCAGCTCTAACACTTCTTCGTTGTCCAGTACAGCTGCACTCTAATTCCATCGGCGGGGAGAAATGTAGGTACACCTCCCAATACCTTCACTGATGCACTCTTAGAAACGTTGTTAGTTGCCATTCTACAGCTCACAAACGAACACCCCATTTCTCCCAACGCTCTGCTTTGCGAGCAGGACCGTGCATCGTCCCCTGGCACCCGTTTGAAGCCTATCAAGATCGAGGTCCTGTACCAGGCCGAAGATTCAGATGAAGAACAGGAGGCTACACCTGAGCGCCCGAAAGACGAGATCCTGAAAGATCTAGAAGACTGGTATACCGTGAGTACATAATGATGTTCCTAAGCACATCGTAATCACCACTTGAGCCAGGTCCATCAGGACGCCGTGGACCTGTTTATATCCCAAGCGGTACGCGCCGGCATAAATCCCCACTTCGCTAGAGACAAGCTTGTGGGGATAGATCTCAAATACGTTCCCGTCGAAGCAGACGGACGGCGTCCCCCAATTGAACAACGGTTCCTCGTTAGGATAGCCTACCTAGCGCACGACGTCCCACCTGAAGTGTGGATGGATCGCCATCGCGCGTGCAGGGTCATGCAGGACGCAGGCCGGAGTGCCGCTTCATGCAGCATTACATGCCAGAACAATACATTGACAATGACCGTGCCGCTAGACGACTTGCAGGAATTCCCCTGCAAGACGAGGCTCATGAACCCGGAGGAGGTGCTCATCTGGATGGTATCAGGCCGACTGACTCCAGAAGATGTTCGGCTCAGCTACGTTCAAGCAGTCAATATAGCAATGCACCAAATCATGCCCGATGGCAGCGATATGGGAGTGCTGCTGCGGGAGGACGATAAATGTGAGTTGGATAACAACTTCTCAGCAGGCTGAGTTGAATTTCTCGATGTAAATGCAGATCTCGCATTATGGTTTCGACTAGACTCGCAACCCAAGATGGTTGAGTGTATCGTTTTGCCCATGTCATTGATGAATCCCTCCGGCAATGAGTTGGCGCTGCAAGTCCGGTTGGCGGATGCCGGGGACGAGGAGCAAGCCCTGTTGATATAACGGGTCTTTCACTACGCTCTGAATGGCCTGTAGATGGTACTACTGACTGATATACCGATGTGTCTGAAGTCAGATCGTCCAAGAGCCTGTTATGCAGAATAATGTATTTTACAGAGTCAAGCAAGCAAGCGTTCGATCCTCTCAGAGCGCACGCGCAGATAGTATCCAGAGAGTAAAGTCATCTGTATCTCAAAATGCGTTCAAAGAAAGATCGAGGGGGCACAACAGAAAAGAGACATGACAGGACCGTAAGCCGTAAGCTGAATGACGTATACGTAGTAAGACGCGCGGGACGGATGATTGCGGGACAGGCAGTAGTAATAGTGGGTGGGGTATGAGAGCGCACTCAGTAGGGGGAGCAATTATTACTAAATTACAAGATGACGCAGTGGTGCTTCTTGCTGCGACTCTGTCGGCTGAGAAGGGCTGCCCGGGTAGCGTACTGGAACACCTCGTGGACGCCCTCGCCGGTCTTGGCTGAGCATTCCAGGTAGTGCCTCGCGCCGATTTTCTGCGCGACGGCCATGCCCTGCATAATAAAGTTAGTCAGACACGAAATATTGAGTGTGTACCAGAAAAAGAAGATCGTGGCCAGGCGTGATGGAAACCCTGAATCAAGCAGGCAATGAATGTGGGAAGGCCGACTTACCTCCTCCGGTGCAACGGGCCGCTGATTTGTCTTCCTGAGCTCCTCAATCACGCGGGGGTCGCGTCTGAGATCCTTCTTGCAGCCAACAAGGATGATGGGTAGGCCCGCGCAGAAGTGCATCACCTCGGAAATCCACTGCACAACATCATAAGCCGACGCACAGTGACAATCCAGCACTAGCTACGAACCTTCTCCTGCACGTTGTCAAGCGAGTCAGGGGAGTCCACGGCGAAGCAGATGAGGATGACGTGTGAGTCGGGATAACTCAACGGCCGGAGACGATCGTAGTCCTCCTGGCCCGCCGTATCCCATAAGGCGAGCTCGACGTGCTTCCCGTCGACCTCGACATCGGCGACGTAGTTCTCGAACACGGTGGGCACATACACCTGTCGCGGGATCAGCCCCACCGCACCACGCGCAGACGCTGCCAGCACGACGCACCTCGGGGAATGTGCCCTTGGAGAACACAATCAAGAGACAGGTCTGCAATGATATGTCAGCATAAGCTGGAGACGCGCGCCCCGCTCGAGGGGCCGCCAGTTGGCCAGGCAAACCGCACCTTTCCGCAAGCACCATCACCGACGATAACGAGCTTCCTGCGAATTTCCGACATTTATTGCTGGTATTCGGGGCTGAACAAGATAGAGAAAGGACAACGACGAAACAGAGAGCGGGCGGGACGTGGGCGGTAGTGACGAGCGGTCGTAGAAGAGAGTTGTCGCACGTTGATACGCAACAGCTCAGACGAGCAGCGCCAAAGCGGGCCTTCAAGCGGTCTTTGAACACAGGCTGTGCTAATATTACGTAAGCGCATCGGCGAGCGCTTTCCCGTTTACTCTTCCCGCAAGTCTGATACAGTATACGTCCTCTATATTTTGGAATGCGTGCTATGGAAGAGAGACAGAGCAGCTCTGTTCATACACATTTCGACATTTGGGCGGTCCTATGATATCTCCCGGTGGAACCGAAGGAGCACGTAGCCGTGTTCGCCGAGGCGGTGTACTATAGGGTTCATCGTCAGCCACTTGTCCCAAACATAGACACATCCACATACCACCAAACCAGATCCTACACCTTACAATCGTATTCCCCCGACACTCAGGTACTCCCCCTCCGGCCCCCAGCTGCCCATCTCGCAAATCTGTAACTCGTCGACATCCCATGTACCAAAATCAACGGTAACCGGTCCCTTCTGCCTCTGCGCTGACCCAAGTACGGCCGGGACGCTGGCGTTGAGTTGCCGGAAGGCTGCGGATGCGAGGATGGATGGATAGGAGAAGGGGATGCGCCGACCTTTGGAGCGGGGTTTGCGGTAGACGGTGTTGATGACCGTGCAGTGCAACTAAGCGGGATCGTTAATTAGTATAAGCGCAGTAATATCGTATCTTACCTTTAGTTCTCTGTGTTCATCAACGAGCAACCCAGCTTCCTGGAATGCTCGCTGAACTAGCACTTTACGTGATTAATGAGCATAATAAAATAAAGAGCAAGATATTAGATTTACTCACAACAAACCTCCTTCAACTTCGACCCCGCCCCGTTATTCGGGGGGCCCAACCACATAACATGCGCATTCTCGGGATCTCCCCTATCCGGGCGCATAATATCCATGGCCTTCAGCTCAACTTTGAGCTTCTCACCCGCGAGAATTTCGAGGATACGCGGGCGAAGCGAGGCAAGCAGGTCCAGCGCGGCCTTAACCGTCTTCGGCTTTTCGTCCACTAATTCAGATGCAGCCGGTGAAGCATCGAGGGACATCACGCCGAGCGTGAGGTGGAAGCGCCGCGGGGAGATGATGATGGACCTGTCCAGCCCTGGGATGGGCGGGGAGGTATCCAGCAGCGCGCTTGTGCACGTCGACATGGTCTCGCGGAGGCGCGCATGGTGACCCTAGGGGAACAGTTCAGCCTTGCATCGATCTTCCGTCAAACGGTGGATGCGCACGATTGGCAGAGCAATGACTGTAGGTTAGATTGAGGCTGTTATCGGACGCCGGTGGACAACAAGCGGCTTACAGTGCGTCAATGGAGGCTTGGGCGGTCTTTCAGACCTCGGCGGTCGATTTGAACCTGACACTACCGTCGTCTGTTCTACCACTATAGTTTCGGTGGAGATCGCGGCTTCGGAGGCGGGTGCTTGACCAGGACCTCCTCTTCCCCGCCCGCGTCCTCGACCTCTTCCGCGACCCCTTCCTTGGCCTCTCCCGCGATTCACATTCGAGCTATGACCTCGGACAATAGAAGATACCGCGGTACGCGTAGCGCTGGGTGCGGACATTACAGTTCTCCACAGGAATGTATGTCGAAAGCTTAGGCTGCTGGGATTAGATACAGTTGCGCCAATAACGCTGCGCGACGCCTCATGTCAGCGCTAGTATCATATCGTAAAAGACGAAGTGTATTGCGACGTACGTACAAAGAGATATGTTTCTGTACGAATGTAGACCAGGGATCGTCCGTGCCTCGGAGGTGTATCAAGCTGCACTGCTTTCGAGGAGCCGCTTCCCAACGATCGGACTGTCGAATCTGGGGAAATCCGGGGTACAGTTTATCCTTAATTCCAGCCGGCCCACGCAGAGGTGATCTGCAAGGCGACATATTTCAGAAAAAACATATCACGAACCCCAACATCATGGTCATGATGCAGGAGAGTTCAGGAGGACAACGATCGCCGAAATGCAGTGAAACTGCGGTCAGCACGTTTTGCAAGAGGCCGGGATTTTCGTGCCCGTCGTGAGAGACAGAAACGGATTCTTGAGCTAGTGTCTTGGCGCTCCGGACTGCGCGGAGTGAAGTGAGCTAGGAGTCGAGTGAGTCGCGCTGTGAAGCTGTCAAAGTGGAAGTAGGTTCAGGCTTAGACAGGAGCCCACAAGCTAACTTGAAGGCAGAAGGGTAAAGCAACAAAGACCTGTTCTATAGCTAGTGGATTGAGTGTTTAGCACAGTCGTTTTATCACAAATCCCATTTACCGTACGATTAGCAACGCCAGCGCTAGTTCAGCGCGCCGCCCTCGGCGAGCTACCCGAGGCGCGAGCTTCCCACCGTCCGACACATACCCCGCTTACCTGCTAGCACTAGAGTATTTCTCTCCTAACCGTTCCCCTTCGCTCTCTGAGACCCTCCACTCGCTGTACAGTACCGTCTCTCTTTTATTTCTCTCCTCGACATACGCCGTACGACCTTACCAGACGTTCCTCAAAGTCAAAACAGAGTTTGCAGAGGCAGTCCAGGTATTCCGGGCTAGATTGTGCCTGCGATCTCGGCGCCTGCCATCTGCCATTCTAGAGCTAACGCCTGCTCAGTTCGCACAACGCCTCAGGCCCGTCCTTTGCTGTCAGACACCTTGCTTTCTACTCCAAACGTCGACGTCTGCTTTATACGGCGTCCATAATTCTGCCCAGGACTTTACTGGCCTCATCCTCGTCACCGGACATACGACTTCATGAGCGCACGCGCGGGCATTCCTCTCCGACGGTGGAAAGGAAAGGGACGGGAGGTGCTGCTCGAGAGCAGGAGCGCTAGCACTACGGAAGGAAATGGGGGAAATGACGGCGTGGTCATGCCCATGCAGATGACCGGTGACGGGACCTACAATGTGTGAGTCTCACTTGCGTCTTTCATCCCAGCGCGTACGAGAAGACGCCCATGTACCCTCGTCGCTACGGGGATACAACGGCCGGCGTCTGATACGAGCGGTGCAGGGCTCTTGATTGTCGTTCATCCAACTGACCAGCCTCCAGCGAGTATACCGTACCAATAACAGTCGGTAACGGCCAAACCCTCTCAGTACAAGTAGACACCGGCTCGTCCGATCTTGTAAGTCGTACGACAACTCTCGCGCGTCTGACTTGCTAATTTCCGTCCGCTCGCAGTGGCTAGCTTCGACCTCCTGCTCCTCCTCCGCCTGCTCATCCACGAATGGACGGCTATATAACCCAGGCCAGGCCCTGCCCACGGGCCAGACATTTAATATAAACTATCTCATCGGTAATGTCTCGGGCCCCATCGTCTGGGACGAAGTCCAGCTGGGCGGTTACAGCATAACCAACCAAGCACTAGGTCCGTCTCGCATATTGTAATTATATGTATGCCGTCTCACCTCACGCCCACAGCCGCCGCATCCAAAGTCGACGGCGAACCGCTCTCGCAAAATTTCGACGGCGTCCTCGGCCTCGCGCTGCCCGGCAACTCGATCATCCAGGCCGCTATCATGCCCACGCTCGGCGACAGCCCCGACGGCGCCGCCTTCTCCTCGAACCTCTTCGGCATCACACCCGTCTCGCAGGCGCCGCCCGTGCGCTTCCTCTCCCTCTCGCTCGAGCGCCCCGGGTCCGACCGCACGCCGAGCCTGCTGGGCATCGGGCGCCACCCCAGCCAGGTGGCCCCGGACCCCAGCAAGATCGCGTACTCGACGCTGCTGGCGAGCTCGAGCGCCGGCGTGCGGTTCTGGGAGACAAGCATTCGCGCCATCACGGTGTACGTGGACGGCGGGGCAAAGGCCGTCAGCCTTGGACACTCCCATACGGGCGCAGTGTACCCGATCGCCGTTGTCGACTCGGGTGTTCCATATATTATCACGACTTCGGCAATAGCTAATGGTATTTATGGCGCAATCGGAATTAACCCCGCCGCAAACGGCCAATGTGAGTCTCGATCTATTCTCAGACAGCATCTTAACTGACAGTGCATAGATTACGTGCCCTGCTCGACACCACTTAATATGACGATAAGTCTGGACGGCCAGCCTGAGCTGCCGTTGCACCCGCTCGACTTGACGGCGGTGCCTCTGCAGGACGCGTCCTCGCCGAACTGTATTGGCCTCATCCAAGCTGCTGATGGCGCCCTCGCCAACATCCCCGGCGACATGATTCTCGGAGTGCCGTTCCTCCGCAACGTGTATACCGTCCTCGCGTACGACGTGCCTGACTCCAACGGTGCCTTTCCGCAAGTCTCCGCGAGCACGACCGCCAACAGCATTAACCCGCGTCTCGGGCTGCTCTCGCTCACGAACGCTACCACCGCTCTGGATGAATTCCATACTGTGCGCGTGCTGAACCAGCCGCTGTCCAAGACGCCGAAGACAAGTGACACGAATGGCGTCGCAGGCAAGAAGGGTCTGTCGGTCGGCTTGGACGTCCTGATCGGACTGCTGTCGTTCTTCGGCCTGTGCGCAGTCCTCTTCGGCTTGCGCTGGGTACTGGCCAAGCGACAATGGCGCCGTTCTCATCCGCGCGGCGAAGAAGGTCAGCTGGATGCGAAGGACAGCGGGTACGCGCTCGCGGCACTGCACCCCAACGGGGACGGGCCGAGCGAGGAGACGCTGAGGACGCTGCGTTACGAGGCGTACAAACGCAACAAACGGATGCACAGCGAGTACTCGACGGACAGCGCGCTTACCAAGGTCGATGTGGACGAACGCGAGGATAGCGGGTACCTGCCTGACCACGAGCTCGGATTCCGCCCCAGCTTCTACGATAAAGGCAGGCACGACCCACACGCGAGCATCGCAACGGATTGGCGGGACACCCTGGTCGGCGAAGCGGACTCGGCGGGGACGCCCCGCGCGAAGGACGAATCACCTAGCCCGGAGATGCATAGGCGGCACCTGAGCGATCCGGAAGCGCCCGTAACGGCGCCGCTACTGGCGCATGCTCGGACGCACTCGCAGACGTCGCAGGGGAGCGATGTGGGCCAGGCAGGTGATAGAGTGAGCATGGCGGGTATCGGGTCGGCTTCTAGGGGCAGTCGGCATCTGGAGCATGGGCTGCGGGATAGTGTCGGCAGTTTTGGCAGTTTCCATGATGTGGACGGGTCGGGTAACCGTGTATACGCGCCCTCGCCACTACGACCCCATCCTACACATGCACCGGACAGACCACGATCCCCGCTAGAAGACCGAGGTGGAGCTCGACCTGAGTACGAGCCGTGAAAAACTGCTCGCCGTGGTCTCGCGCTTTGAGTTATATCGTATGTCTTTCGTTTCCCCTATGCTGCTGCTTCGCTATCGTATATCTCGGACTATCTTGCGTTTTCCTGTGGATCATACCTTATACCTGCTGCACGGACTCCACCTCTGCTGACTGTCGAATCATTGTATTGTACTTGTGTATTACCTACGCGGCCATAAAGGCTCTCGACTCATAATATGGAGTAAACGGTGATTACCCCTTCTTGCCGTGTTCGAATCACCGAATCAGCCGGATATGAGATGAAATCTAAATTCACGAAGATGCCTTCAATCTTCGAGCAGTGCACGCTTCGGACTCTAACCTAATGGAATTGAGGAATTTCTGCAATTCCGATAACGCCACGCTCTCAGCGCCCTTATGTATCATGCAACGCGTCGAGTAATGGCAATTGCAGCGTCTCTCGTTAACAGGCGCTGGGTATCTGCTCGAAATGACTGCCATGTCTACGAACGCTAGCTACGGTGTTCCATATTCTCCCTCTCAGGCCAGCAAATTTGATGGTCCTCGAACTATCGATGAGCTCAAGAGCGATGGAATTAAGTACATTCGCCTCACCTGGGTCGACTTGGTCAATAATATCCGCTACCGTGTCATTCCCCTCGCGTACTTCGCGAAGCTCTTGGAATCACCCCGGCCTGGCATCACAATAGGCAAGATCGTGCTCGGGCTGGTGTTCTTGACGCAGGCGGAGGGCTTCGGGCCCGTTGGCGAGTATCTGTATGTCCCCGACATGGCGACGCTCAGGAAATGCCCGTACGCGCCGGGGCACGCGAGCGTAATGGGGTTCTTCCAGGAGAAGGAGCAAAACGAGCTCGGGTCGTTCAGTGTGGACTTGTGTCCGCGGACGATGCTCCAGCGGGTTGTTCAGTACGTGCTCGTTCTCCACCTTTCTATGTGTCGTGTGTTCAATTCCCACTGGAACAGGGATGCGAAGAAGACTTGCAATGTCGAGTTCCTCGTCGGTGTCGAGACGGAGTTCATTTTACTCAAATCGGTCGACCCCATTGAAGCTGTTAACAATCACGGGTGGTCCAACTCGCCTGCGCTCCCCTCCGGCGCCGTCGAGACCAAAGTACTCGAAGAGATAGCCGACTCTCTGCAGGAGGCAGGCATCGAGCTGCAGATGTATCACGCAGAAGCTGCCCCGGGCCAGGTACGCACACAAATATTGTATAAACCGCGTTCTCATCAAAACCTCTTATACCCAGTACGAAGTTATCACGGGCCCGCTCACCCCGCTGGAGGCCTGTGATGCGCTCGTCTTCACCCGCGAGACGATCTACAACACTGCATCCAAGCATGGCCTGCGCGCAACCCTCGCTCCGCGCGTCTTCGGGCACAGCTGTACGTCCACCCCTCTCTTATGAAGTGCTCGCTCATCACCCGCTACAGGCGGCTCCGGCGCGCACACTCACGTCTCGATTCACTCCTCTTCTCCGCCGTCGCTCCCGCCGAGCACTTCCCCCGCCCTTCCCGCACTCTCCGCCTCTTTCCTGCAAGGCCTGTTAACCGCTCTCCCTCCCCTCTGCGCGCTCACGCTTCCCACCGAGGCTTCTTACGCCCGCATGCTCGATGGTGTCTGGAGCGGAGGTACTTATGTCGCGTGGGGGACCGACAATCGTGAAGCCCCCGTACGGCTCTGCCCGGCCTCGTCCCCGCACTTCGAGATCAAGTGCGTCGACGGGACGTGCTGCCCATACGTCGCATTCGCAGGACTGCTCGGCGCGGGTCTGCAGGGCGTGAAGGACAAACAGGCATTGAATATCGGGGAGTGTAAAGATGTAGCACCAGCGTTGCTCTCAGAGCAAGAGAGGGAGCGGCTGCAGATCCGGGCCAGGATGCCTAAGAGTATTGCGGAGGCCAGGGAACGGCTGTGTGGAGTAGAGGGGAGGGTGATTAGGCAGGTTCTAGGCGAGCATGTCGTGCAGGCTTACGTGAATGTAAACAAGGTGTGTAATGTGCGGCTATGCTCTCTTCGGGAACTTATATCTTCTACAGACGTTGGAGCAGTGCCTTGGAGAAGGGTCGGATGAGACGGTCATGAAGAGGATGATCGAGAACTACTGACTGCTGTAACTGACTGCTGCATTGTACCTCATCAGGAAAACCCTCCCGAGCAGATTAGGCATGATCATGCATGATCATGTCTTATTAGATGCATTATCCCATTATGCAGGATCATACAAGTTAGGGTTGTCCCTCGTCTCATTCATACTTATTATATGTCAATTAGTTTGATCAGGCAAATATTCATGCACATTGAGACAGATTATAAGGCAATCTTTGCCCTGTTATAACATGCTATGCAATCTACAGACATGCATATATATGTATCAATCTAAGCCCGACAGATCCATCAGCGACAACGCATTCGGCTGCTGCGCATCTATAGCTATGCCATTACGGGTTGATGTCCTGCATGACGTAGATCTATGACGGTCCAAATGCACTAAAAAGGAAAATGCACTAATATACTCAATGCACTCAAATATAAACCAAACATGCGCACAGTTTGCACCTTGCACGCATATATTGAACTCATCGCACGCGTATACACTGGTACTGGGATTCATAGCTACTACCACGAACACTGCCTCCGATGATGGCGAGCACCCTAGGCGACATTCTCCTGCCCTCCATCCTCGACCAGCTGGATGTCCGCGGCTTTCTTCTTGACAACGTACTGCCCTACAATGTCAGCGATAGTCTCCTCGAACATCTCCTCATCTCTGGTTAAAGCCTCTCTCTGCTTCACCCAACTGACGTTCAAGTCCTGGCAACCCTGGCACATTCCAGGGATCCGCACTGTCTCCAGCATGTCCAGAATCTGGCGGCCATTCCTGCCAGCATCCGGGTGTAAGAGATGCTTGGCAAGCCCCTGCCACCACTGCGTAGTCCAGGCCTGACGGCATTGTTCCGAGGTGAAGCAGGATACGTCTTCAATGTAGGGTGAGGGATAGAAAGCCAGCACAAGTCGGTGTTCAGCAATCTGGGCATGTGTGTTGGCTATGGCATAGAAAGCGTTGGGTCCGATCAGGTGAGCCATTGGCCTTGTAATCGCATGGACTGGCGTTGACATCAGCTCGCAAAATGCTGGCTCAATCCAGCCATAGACTTGGTACGTGCAGCCCAGGTGGAAGCGAAGTGCCGGGTTGGAGACAGTAGACTTGTTCAACATCTGAATGGCATAGTTATGCGCATCTGTGATTTAACTAGTCAAAGTTGGGATTAACCCAACTTTGAGAATAAGAATTCTGGGGATGTTAGTATCTCAAATGATAGGTTGTATGGTGTAAATAACAGGTGCAAAGAAGCTAAGGAAACGGCGGACCCGTTCTGGAGATAACACACCTCAAATGTGGGTGACATGTCACACATTGAGTGTGACACCCGATAGGTCGCCTCGATAGGTCGATAGGTCACCTCGATAGGTCATTTTGTAGTCACAATAGGTCGCTTTGTAGTCTCGATAGGTCATTTTGTAGTCTCGATAGGTCATTTTGTAGTCTCGATAGGTCATTCTGTAGTCTCGATAGGTCGATAGGTTGTTTTGTAGTCTCGACAGGTCATTCTGTAGTCTCGATAGGTCAATAGGTCACTCGATAGGTCATTTTGTAGTCTTGATAGGTTCCTTTGTAGTCACTTTGTAGTCTTGACAGGTCACTCTGAACTGTAAATTTGTGTTCTATGTACCATCACTACTTAGTCTGCTACATGATGGACTGTATTTTATATTTCAGGAGAGACATTGCGAGTGGGTGGCAAGATATCCCTTTCAAATACACGCACCGCTGAGTTCACAAGTCTGAGATATGCATCCTGAGAGAAGTTGGCAAACATGGATGCCCCTGACCAAGCCTCCACCTCATTCACCCAGAAACGGAACTCACCATCTTGCCGTATCAGGCAGATGTCAAGCCGTGCAAAAATCCGCAGCTGCGATGCCCGGGTCCTTGAGCCAGGCACAATATCCTCTTCATGGTCTTCTTCCCACTTGATCAGCTTCTTCAACACTGCACCAGCAAAATCCTTCAGCTCATTCATGCCTTCTTCTGCCTCCTCCATCAGCACTGTGACATCAAAGATGTCGTAATACTGATCATCTCTGATCATCTCCTTTGTCCGGTCCAGGAGTCTGTTTCCCAGCCTACGGTGATCAAATCAGTCTGATGTGTTGCCTGCCTGGCCATGGACAAGGTCACCCACACAATCTTTGAAAGCGGAGCCAAACCATCGATCTTCCAGTAGTCCACTTCTTCAGGACTCACATAATCTGTGAACATGCAGTACATCCACTTCTCTCCCACAAACAAGCAGCGGATCTCCCCTTTGTCCTTGACCTCCGCAATCTTTGGCTGCAGAAACCAGAGTGGTCTAGCCACATCACTGACCATCCTTGCCCAGCTATCATCGGACTCCTCCATGGTGTCGCGGATGCGTACCAGGAACTCATTCAAAGTCTCGTCTGGGTCCATTTTCAGCACATGCTGGCTAAACCCAGAGTATGTCCGCTTGATCATGCAACCAGTGAGATCAATCTTGAAGTCAGAAATCAAGGACACCAG